ACCTGGGAAGCAGGAGAGTCATTAGCCCCAACACCTGGGAAGCAGGATATGATAATGGGATTAAACCACAGATATCAAGGCCTAGAAAAACACTCAGAAATAGCCTCAAAGTTCATGCCACAGGAACAGGAAACTTCCAGGCAAGGCTAGAGGGTATAAAAAGACCTTCTGCCCATGTGCTCTCTCTCTTCCCCACTCTTTTTTCTTCTCCTCTGCTGCTTATCTGTCTTCTGCAATAAACTGTAACCTTCTTCCCAAAGCAGTCGCCATGTTTGCTTATTTATTCCCGGCTTGGATGAACCAGGATGAAGACTTACCTTCTAACACTGTTAAAGCTCTTTTTTTTTTTCTTCCGTCAATTCCCGCTATTTCCTTGTACTTCAACCAGCATGCTTCATCCCTTCTCCCTCAAGTTCCCACAACTTGACACTTAGCTCAGATTTCTTGGGGTTCTTTTTCTATTTCTTTTTCACTCTGTGTCTCCATTCTAGCAATTTTTGTTATTTTTTGCACTGATACGAAAAGAAACCAGATAATTTGTAGTTGTGTGGGGAACAAATGGATTCATTCAGAATATTTTATGACCCTCCAGTTATTTCATAGCTATTAGCAAGCGTTTGGGAAACCTAGGATAGCTGCAGAGTTTTTTTCAGCCAACTCTGAGATATGAGCGATAATAAAGAACAAGCTGTTCCAAGCAGTTCGTTTCTATGTTGGATCAAAGCAAAGTATTCAGATGAAAATGAAGTAGAAAGTGAAACACCGTATGGGCAGTTCTGGTTAATATTAAACCATGATATGGCTTTCTAAAACTTTTCTGGCTTAGGAAAATTACAGCTTTCTTGCAATCTGAAGAAGAGGGTAAAGGAAGCAAAAGAAGTTCTTTCCCTTCACTTATTTACGTACTGAAAAATCACCATCATGTTTATACAGTACCTTTATATTGTGCTGTTTCTGCTCCTGGGTCCTTCAGAGAATTTGGAGCACACTCACATGGTATTTAATTTTACCTGTCTCAGATCACTGAGATTTGAGCCATCCGTGTAACCTCCAACTGACCCATTGGAGAATGCAAATAGTGCTAGCTCCCGAACACCCATTCTGTTGTAACATACAGTAAATCTCTCTATGCAACATGGCCAGTGTCCTTTGTTCATGATTTCTGTATACATGTCTCTGTTGGCAGACAGACAGATGTTGCTATTGAGAAGAAGCTTCATGGTTGCAACATGCACTTCTGTTGCTTTTAAAAGTGTCTTGCTAGCACTGAAGGTGAAATTGTAGCATTCTACCTTTGGCGCGGTTTTGTATCTATGTGCACGAGTCAAGTTACGGGCAATCATGTTCTCTTTCTTTCACTTGACTGAACTTGCAGTGGAATCATTCCACAAAGGATGTTTGTGGAAGACACACTGATTTATGAGACTACAGTAGTACTCATTACACAACAATACTTTCAGGTTACAGCATTTCAGACTTGAAAAGTTTCATACTCTCTTATCTGAAATTTCAGAAATGCTGCTTTGTGAAGAAGAATTAAGAAGAAGGTAGCTAGTTTTAAGGAACAAGAGACACAAGCATTTATCAATATGTGCAAAACCTTTTCTGTATCTAACTGAGCACAATATTTTGTTGTATCCAAAACCAATTTCTTCCGTTTGTGAGGATGTTTTTTAATAGTTATACCAGAATCCCTTTTACATCCAAACATTAATTATTAAGCCAGAAAGATTCTAACTGTTAATGCATTTCTTTAAATATGATGGATTATGAATTTAATGGATTTTTTAAATTATCTTTTTGGAAGAAATTTATTTGTCTTTGAAAATGTTTTAAACAATTATGCCATGTTACGTTTACAGCTGTCATCTGAGTAACATTCATATCTAAAAGATGGGCAAATACTATAGAAATTTAAGGAGCATTTGAATAAGATAGATGTAAAATATAGAAGAGGCTATAAATGAAAGGGACAAAAATTAATCAGCGCAAACGCGTTTGCATTATAGTTACTATGAATTTCATTGATCATTGTAGCCTACTAAATCAAAATTCATCAATAATAATAATAATAATAATAATAATAGTAATAATAGCATTGGAAGGGACCTTGGAGGTCTTCTAGTTCAACTCCCTGCTCTGGCACGAAACCCTATACCATTTCAGACAAATGGTTGTCCAAACAAATTTTGATCAATAAATTGTCTGGGCTTATATGTTGTATAAACTATGATTTGTGGCTTAACAGGGCATGTAAAACTGGTGAATTGTACTAATACAATAAAGAATTGTTACAGAATTATGGAATAATGTATAGTATGAACTTTATATATCTGTAAGCCGTTAACAATTAGGGTACTAGCAGGGCAGAGAGATTGCTTAAACAAGTTACTTCTTTCTGAGTTGTTTTTCTCTGCAGTGCAGTACTTCCCTAAAAAGTGCTAACTCCAAGTTAGCAAGCTCAGCTCATCACAATATTTGGTGGTTAATGTGCAAATTGGTTGGAAAATATTTTTTTATTACTATTTATTACCATTGTATTTACAAATAGAAATTTAAGGAGCCTTTGAATAAGATAGATGTAAAATATAGAAGAGGCTATAAATGAAAGGGACAAAAATTAATCAGTGCAAACACGTTTGCATTATAATTACTATGAATGTCATTGATCATTGTAGCCTACTAAATCAAAATTTATCCTTAATTTCAATAATAATAATAATAATAATAATAATAATAATAATAATAATAATAATAATAATAGAAACAAGGTAGTCCCCAAACTAGGAGTGGATGTATGTCAAATTCATATTGTTAGCGTTTCTCAGAGTATACAGCCTTTCTCGTTCCTTTGCTAACCTGGAGCTAGTTTGTTCTCTTCATATTTTACCTTCCTCACTTATATAAAGGATTCACATGAAGACAATGGGATGTTGTGGGATTTCTAGCACATTCAACAACATGATGTGACTGACACAATCAGGGACCTTTCTTATAATCAGAGTAACACACATACCGACTTATTTTTTTTGGTCTTCGTTGACTTTGCAATTATGTAGCATGCATCAGCTGTAATATCTCTTGTTCTAACTCTTTTCTAAACATTTGAACATTACCCATGTCCAAGCAGAGCTGTAGTCTGTATTACACCATCCTAAACATTATTTTACTAGCATGTGACATTAAGGATATTGCACAGTAGTTTGCATTAAGGATATTGCCTAGTAGTTACATCACCTTACTATATTCCAGTATATAGATTGACATATTTCAGTTTGTTGGCCGCTGTATCATTCTCCAAATTTACTGGCATATCCTCATAGAAACCTTTATTGATTCTTTTTTGGTGCTTGTCATATTTTTATGGCTTGTAGCCTTCTGATTTGGTAATGACTGGGGTGTTGATCTGTTTCATCTTCTAGTATTAGAATTTCTTGTAAATAAGAAGTATTTTCTAAAATATATTGGATATTGACATAAGTACTGTACAGTATTTTAATATATTCCTTTCATCTTTCTTGGATCTTCTTGGAATTGGTTATTATCTGTCCATTGGCATCCTTTAGCATAACAATTCGAGGTTGGAATCTCCTTCTGAGTTCAGAAAAGAAAGACAAATAGACTGTTATAGACATTAGCCGATGCAAAGCATTGCCAGTTAATTGTTTACGTGGATGAATACAAATAAGAGCTCAGAGGATATTATTTTTCAGGAAAGGGAATTTCAGACTTGAACATTCCTTTCCAGATGTGTTATTAGTTGCTTTTCCCCTAAAGGAAAGAGCAGTTTTGCAGGGTGAAGAAGAAGAAGAAGAAGAAATTCAAACCCACTTTTCTCTTTTCCCTGTCACCTGTGATCGCTATCATTATTCTCCCCATCTCAAACAATTATTACCTGCATTTTTAAAGTTTAATAAATACTATTAACAACATGATAAAAAACAATGAGACATTGATAATTCAATGTGGATATTAATTTTAGGATTATCCAGTTTTTGGATCTGTATAATTTGCATCTAGATTTTTACAGGTGGATTATTATACTTTTGTTTTTCATTTCTTGTTCATTATCTAGGCCTACTTGGCAAGTGCAAGACAAAATGGATGCCAACAATGTGGCGTACACATCTGAGAAGCTAAGTTTTCATACCGATTACCCTGTTCTACAATTTCCACCAGGGGTAAGAGAAACATAAAAAGCAAGACAGCAGGAAAATAAATAGCATCGTAATAGAAATATTTTATTATCTTAAGCCATGTATTATATTGTACGAGAACCAGTTTGGCATAATGGTTAAAGGCACCAGAGTAGAAGCTGGGAGCTCCTGAGTTTTATTCAGAGAAGACCAACGTAAAAATAATAATTTTAAAGAAAATTTAAATCACACCAATGTTGGCATCTATGGCAGAACTTCCCATAGAACTCAGTTTACAACTGTGTCATGAACAGTAGATCCTCTCCTGAAGCTCCTGAATGTTTATATAAATAATGGTATTATTTGAGTTAATCTGATTCCAAATTGTTTAGAGCTTTGTGAATTAACACTAACATCTTGAAGCTGGCTCATTAACACACTCAGACATGCTTAATCATCTTCCTAGTGTTTTCTGAACTAATTGCAGCTCTGAACAATTCCCAAGTTCACAAAGCACATCATAATGATCCAATTTTGAGATGCTCATTGCAGGAAACCTAACAGTCAAGCTTTCCAAGTCCAAAAACAGGCAACTGATTTATGAAAGGCAAATAATAATAGGCAACTAACTGTGCCTCAGATTCAGGCTGAATTAACAGGGATAGAATCAAAATCGTGTGAAGTGTTAATACCACTTTATGATGCCTTTGTAATGCCACATTTGGAATACTGCATCTAGTTTTGGTCATCACAATGTAAAAAAGATGTTGAGACTCTAGAAAGAGTACAGAGAAGAGCAGCAAAGACGATTAGGGGACTAGTGGCTAAAACATATAAAGAGCGGTTGCTGGAATTGGGTATGTCTAGTTTAATGAAAAGAAGGACTAAGGTTGACATGATAGCAGTGTTTCAATATCTCAGGGGCTGCCACAAAGAAGAGAGAGTCAAGCTATTCTCCAAGGCGTCTGAAGGCAGGACAAGAAACAACGGATGGAAACTAACCAAAGAGAGAAGCAACCTAGAACTAAGGAGAAATTTCCTGACATTTATAACAAATAATAATTGGAACAGCCTGCTTCCAGAAGCTGTGAATGCTCCAACACTGGAAGTTTTTAAGAAGAGATTGGAGAACCATTTGTCTGAAATGGTATAGGGTTTACTGCCTGAGCAGGGGATTGGACTAGAAGACCTCCAAGGTCCCTTCCAACTCTGTTATTCTCTAAATTCAGTAAATTCTGAAAATTGAGAACAAGTAGTTCTTGATTTGGGTGCCATTGGTTCACAGGATTCCACTACAAGTTTATTGGTCATCGTCCATTTCACTCCTGGGCTCAAATCCTTCTGTAGGTAGTGGACAACCTCTTCTGATTTAAATGATATCTTGCTCTTAGTTCCGTAATTTCGGTACAAATAGCTTCAGATAAATTTTAAATAGCACTGGTGATACAATAGCACTTAGTACCAGACCTTACTTCCAGATATATCTTTGCTTCTGCCAGTTCATAAAGTATATTATTTGTTACTCCTGAGATAAGAAACCTTGTACTCATTCAGACATTTTACATAAAACAGCTGCAATATTTTGCAGTTCACCATAGTCATAAGGCTGATGAGACCAAAACATCTGGAGAGCACTATTTTGTTTGAGGTTATATTTCTCAATTCAGTTTTAATTAGCTCATATATAGTCACAGATGCACACAGTTTGTACTATTGTGTTACCTATTGTGTTATTTATGTGACATATCCTGAATTTTTAGCTGACAAAGTTATTCATATGTCGTATAAGAGTGAAAAAGATAGAGCTCTGCAACATTGCATTGAGAAGATTCTAAAGTAATGCAAAGTTAACATCAGTTAAGTCCCTAATAGAAAACAGTGAGATCTGAAGAGGGTTCCACTACCACATGTAGCAGTCAGAGCCCTAATTCAATGTAATCATTCTATTTAAATTTATAAACAGCTCCAAATGGGGCAAATTGGCCTTTGTGAATACCAATTCTGGTGAGGTTTACATTGATTCCAAGTTATTTTCTACATAATCACTTTAAATCAACCATGTACTAAATTATATTCAGCTCACAATGCATCTGTTGCTGTAATAAATGTACAGTGCAGAGAAATGCTTAGGATTTCTCAAATGGATTCATGGGAGAATGTTTCAATGGAGAATATGTATATGTATTTCTGTTCAGTATTTTAATAACCTACTGAACTTCTAATGCTGCCCATATTTCTGCCATTCTTGCTGTATTTGCAAAGATGGGGAGATTAATGTGGTCTGTGTGTTGCTGTAGGAAATTTTTACTCAAGGCTTTCAAACAATCTGTGGTATCATACTTTTGATGAATTAAGCAGATTGTGTGCTACTAAATAGATGTCATTTTTTTCAGATTTGGGAGTTATGTTGAAAATTCATTTAGAGGTTGTAAAAGTACATATGGTATGGCAATCAAGGGGAAGTTTTCAAAGAAAAGGAAGCTCATATTCTGATTTATGCCAAGAATCACACCAAGATATTAGTTTGAATGCTTGTAAGAATTTTTTAAAACATAGTTGAACAAAAAGTTTTGCAAACAATCTTTATAGTCTCTGTATGTTTCTAGTTTTGTGATTTTTAAAGAATTAAACCATGTCATGTTATATAGTAATGAGACTTCTAAAGACATTGATGATATAAAATATAAATGTAGAGCATAATGTTGAATTTATAATAATAACCTGATATTAATTTTTTCCAGATTCAGCTTCTGCATTGTATAAAACAAACGTCTGCTGGAGGGGAGAGTGAAGTTGTGGATGGATTTCATGTAGCCAATAAGTTTAAGGAGCAAAATCCTTATGCCTTTAAAATCTTGACCTCTACATTTGTAGATTTCACAGACATTGGAGTTGATTACTGTGATTTTGCCATGCAATCCAAACAAAGAATTATAGAGTAAGTAACATTGAATGATATTGTATCTTTTCATCTGATGCTTATTCCTGAATTGCAAGCAAAAGTATATTTTTACATTATTTATTTAGCA